TGCCTAGCAAGCATGAATGAGGTTCTGAGTTCAAACCCCAGTATTGCCAAAAAAAGGGGCAGAAGAGAATTGTGCGTGATAGCAAATGTGTATACTCCCACCACGTAGGGGAGGTAGAAGAGCGTCTTGAGGCCAGGCTGGGAAAGACCCTTTGTACAAAAAGGAGGGCAAGGAGCTCCTAAAATAGCTTTCTTCATGAAAAAAAAAAAGGGCCTGGGAAGGTGGCTCAGTGGTAGAGTGCTTGCCTTGCATGCATGAGGTCCTGGATTCGGTTCCTCAGCACCACATAAGCAGAAAAAGCTGGAAGTGGCTCAAGGGGTAGAGCGCTAGTCTTGAAGAGCCGAAGAGCTCAGGGACAGAGCCCATGCCCAAAGTTCATTTATTTAGGCCCCACGACTGACAAAAAACATAATAAAATAGGAAGATGGGCACCAGTGGCTCACTCCTGTAATCCTAAGCTTCTCAGGAAGCTGAAATCTGAGGATTGTAGTTCAAAGCCAGCCTGGGCAGGAAGTCTGTCAGATTCTTATCTCCACTAAATGACCAAGAAAAGCTGAAGTTGAGCTGTGGTTCAAGTGGTAGAGCAGCAGCCTTGAGTAAAAGCCCTGAGTTAAGGCCTAGGACCCCAGCATGCAAGTGTGTGTGTGTGTGTGTGTGTGTGTGCGTGCGTGCGCATACACACACACACTCTCTCTCTCTCTCTAAAAAATAGAGCTGGGGATGTGACTTAAGTGATAAAGAACCATTCAAGCAAGAAACCTTAACAAAAGCTTGAGGCTTGGAGTTCAAACCTCAAAATCCACACAAATAAAAACAAAAACACCCACATCCGTGTAGCCAACCCTGACTGCCTTCATTCACAGCACTTTATACCTGAACCATAGAGTGGGAAGTGAGCAGATGGAAAGTTTACATATTTTACAACAACTTAGCTTCTACTAGCCTCTCTGCATGTTTCACAACCATAAATCAGGACAGTTATTTGCTAATGTGCCTTTATCAAAGGGCTGAAAATGTCTAGGTTTTGATTCATGATGTTTTTGAAACTTCATTAGATGCAAACAAAAAGGAAGAAGTCTTGGCAATATGAAGTGATGCACCCTGGATGAGTGGGTTGCTTTTAAATGTGTCTTTCACTGCATATGGGTTAGCTGTGCTTTTGTTTCTAGGGCTTAAGATTCCTTGGTCTTACTTTGCTTTGCTAGCAGCATTACTTACTAATGCATCCTGTGGGTTAGTGCTTGGATCTGTGATAGAACCATGAATCTCCAATATGGGAATTAACCCAATCTTTCAAAGTGTGTAAGCATGTTCCCAGTATGCCTGCATTAGGATAATCTTGTTTCCGAAACAAACTTAGGTGCTGTTATTGAGTGTTCCTAGAAGACTAGTTCAGAATTTAAGTCCTTCCCTCAATGGGGGAAGGAATCCTAGAAACCAGAAATGCTCACATTAAAACAAGTGTTGCTCAAGCCTGGATCTGCCATTAGTTGCTGTGTATCTTCATATTCCTGTGGGCAGCCTGGCCATGTTTTTTGTATTTTGTACTTGTTGGTTGTGGAGCATGAACTCAGGGCCTGGATGCTGTCCCTGAGTCTTTTCACTCAAGGCTAGCTAGCATTGTACCATTTTGAGACACAGCACCACTTCCCATTTTCTGGAATCATGGACTTTTCTGCCCAAGCTATCTTTGAACTGTAATCCTCAGATCTCAGCCTCCTGAGTTGCTAGTATTACAGGCAAGAGCCACTGGCGCCTGGCCAGCCTGGGCATCTTGAATCCACCTCTGATGTCAACTTCAATTCCTGTTACCTTACTCAAGAGTCTATAGTTTTCTTCCCATCCTGATCTAACCTTTTCTCATTAAATTTGGAGTGACTTCTCTTTATTGAGTTTTCAGATTCATAAAAAAGTGCCTATTTTTTTTCTAGTTTACTTTTTTCTAGTTTGTGCTAGTGGTACTGGATCTTGATCTTGGCTTTTTTGCTCAAGGCTGGCACTCTACCATGTGAGCGAGCAGCTCCACTTTTCTTGCCTGGACTAGCTTTGAACTGAGATTTTTCAGGCTGAGCTTAGTCTCCTTTGTAGCTAGGATTATAGGCATGAGCCATCGGCACTGGCTTCTGTTCATTCTTTAAACCATTCAGTGAGGAACTAAGCCTGTTCATGTCAGACCAGGGCACTGGGCACCAGTGACAGTTTTCATAAAAAGTTACCTCATCAGGGAGCTCTTAGTTCCAATGGAAGAAATTCATACAGTGACCATTTTCTCAAACATTGATGTGTCCAGAGTTGATAAAAGAATATGCATGCAGGGAATTTGTTTTATTCAAGTATTTAGATATGATTCTCCATTTTGTGCAAGTTGTGACTTTAATTCTTTGATACAGAAACACTCAGGCCACTCTGTAAGACCATTAAAAACCAGGCTTACTACTTTCTATTTTGTTTGTCCCTTGGAAGCTCAAATATGCATGTAAGAGGATTCTTGCTATATATGTAATGTTTTTAGTGTATGAAACACAAGTTCCAGAATATAAGTTCTATTACTGGAACCAAAAATCTTAGGCTTAATTCTGCTCTCCTCCTTCACTAAAACCATTTTGTCCGAGGAAATGCTGATGGACTAAGGAGATTCAGGTTAGCAGAAACTGGAAATGTTCTTGGAATTTGGGAAAGAGGTACTTTTACTTTTGAAGACCCTTGGAGTCTTTCTTATGTTGTTATTGGTGTGTATGTCTATGCATGTATTCAGAAGCCTGTGCTCAAGTCTTAAAGTATACCCTTGTACTAATGTAAACTTATTTTTATTAATGTATATGGATTGTTACAGAACTTCACCAAATTCCTTTTTAATCTGTTTGTGTAGTCTAGTATGATATACTGATAGACTGCATATACTGAACCATTCTTAGAAAAAATGCTGCATAAGAATCTGTTTTGGACATTCAGGAATTACATTTTTTTTTTTTTTTGTCGGTCGTGGGGCTTGAACTCTGGGCCTGGGCACTGTCCCTCAGCTCTTCAG